CCCGGGCATCATGGCATCCTCTGCCTCCTCCAGGCCCCGCCCACCTCTGGACACGGCTGAGCCCTGGAGGGGCATCCCCTGCCAGTGCCCAGGCCATCAGGGCGGGCAGTGGGGAGGCTTCCCATCTCCCGGTAGCTCTCAGTAGCTTTGCATATCTCTGGGGACTTCTGGAAAGATCCAGACCTATATACAATTTCAGGGTCTCCTTACTTTGCCAGCATCTGAGACTGAAATTCAACCTCTAAGCATTTAAAAGAAACAAGAGGAAAACTCAATCCCCTTTCCTTCCATAGCACGCTGGGACAGAGCTTTGCGGTTTCAAATCTCCTCAAAGAAAATACAGCAGCTGCGGTGGATGGAGAAGCCCAGAGAGCCAGGAGGGGGGCAAGTGTTGCCGCCTCTGCCTGCGGGCTGGCAAAGCCCAGGCACAAGCGGGTTTCTGGTTGTGGAGTGGGTCAACCCTGGCTCAAAGTGTCAAGTGGAAAAACAGAATGTTCCACAGTTTGAGAAGACTTTGTATCTATTGTGAATGAAAAATGTCGCCTGCCATATCAGTAAACAAGGGCTGTTGCAGCCATGAAGCCACTGCCGCTGCCCCCAGCGGTGAGCCCTCAGGGGACTCAAGATGGGAAGGAACAGAATACTGGCCCTAGACAGCTAAGGTGCACATCAAGGAAATGATTTCAGTGAGCCCAGACGCTTGCATCTTCCCATATACAGAAAAGTGTTAAATTCATTAACTTGAGTTATCTGGTTTTCTTTTAATTAACAATAATCTTTTGATGTTTCGACTACCCGGTATTTGTTGCAAAATCCCCTATATATCCTGGCTCTTCCCTTACCTCTTGGGAGCAGTCCCTCTGAGCGGTGTAAGAGGCTGCGTCCTGGGCTTAAGTCCTCAGTTTGGGCTGCCAAATAAAACATAGTTCTCAACTTTTAGGTTGTGCTTTTTTTTTCAGTCGACACTATCCATCCATCTCTCACAGATTACATAACAGGTACTCTTCTAAGCATTTCTCAAATGTTAACTGATTTAGTCCCATTTTACAGATGAGAAAATCAAGGTGTGGGGAGCTGAGGTCCCTTTGCTACTGGTGGAGCCAGGAGTTGAGCCCAGGCAGGTCTAGAATGAGGGCTCTGCCCTCTGTGCCAGGCTGTCTAGGCAGCTGGGGCCTGGAGCCGAGGTGGGCAGGGCTGGCTCAGGGCTGCCACGTGGGCTCAGCGCCTGGAGCCGGCTGAGAGACACAGACACAGCGGCGACCAAGTGATTTGGCCTAGAAGGACAGCAGGAGGGAGGGAAGGAGGGAACAAGCCCTCTCATAAGACTCCAGTCCAGTACCCCAGGCCCCAAGAGCCAGGCCAGCCAGGACCAGGTGGTGGTATTGGACAGGCACTGTAGGAAGGGAGGGGGACCTGGCTGAGAACTGCCAGAGAAGATTTTCTCTTTGACAGGGAGCAAGTCTTTGGAGAGAGATTCCAGCATCCTTGGACTCTGCCTGGGAAGCAGCTGCCTCTCATTCCCAGCAACTCCAGCACATTCCCAGGTTCAGCCTGCCCTCTGCTGGGCCTGTTGGGGGACCAGAAAACAGAGCATCCTCGGGTGGCTTCTCAGAGGCCCAGGCTCGTAAACTGAGGGGTAATTCACAGAATTGCAGTACAGTACTGCTTACACGTTTATCACCATTCTAACTACTTATTTGGGCTGAGAACTTTTAGTGTATTCCGCTTGTCAGTGAAACCATTGCTTGAATTGTATAAAACGTGTGAGTGGCACATTTCTGTCACAGCTGGGGTCAGGGAGGGGAGTGTTGAGGGGCAGGGGTTAGAGCATTGGGCTCCAAGTCACCTCCCCACCCCCAGCATGTCAGGGCCATTCAAATGTACATGGAAACAAGGGTATTGCTCTGCTTTCAAAGTTAGAGCCACTTGACCCCCTGCTGGCAGGTCCTTAATAAGGGACCTTGTGATGGAAGACGTGGTCCAGGCTCCAGGGCCATTGACACCCAAGACCTAAGAGCCCAAAACACTTGACTTGGGGCTTAGCTGAACCCTGGGGAGTTAGGAACAAGGGTGACAGTGTGTTAAGGCAACAGCACGTTGCTAGTTGAGAGAGATTTTCCGCCCTGGTCATGTCATTGTTTAAGTCTGGCTCCATCTTTTCCAAGCTCTGTAAACCCACTCTGATCCCACAGGGTAGTTACAGAGGATCAGAAGTCCAGCTGACTTGCCTCTTTTCATGCCCCAAACTTAATCACCAGTGAAATCTCAGCTTCCAGACAGACTGGCTTCCAATCAGCTGCTAATATTTGAGTAACTGTGGAAGAAAGTCTAACTTGGCATTCCCTCAGCCAGGACCCTGGGTATTGGTTTTCTAAACCTAGACTTAATTTGACAGTCAAGTCCCTGTTTACCTAAAAACAGCAAACAGAATCCCATCACCTCGGGCTCATGTCAGGAGGGACCCTGTGTCTCAGCTCTAGAGATGCTTTCTCTTTCCATGGTCCCTGTCTCCTCCTGGCTCACGTCACACCTTTGCTTAAACTCACCCATCATCTATTCCAGTCACCAGAAAAAAAATTCCAGTTCCTTTTGTGACCAACTAGGCCTCATGTTCATCCAACGTTCAGCAATATCTTCTGAGCCCCAGCCATGCGCCGGGTGCTGACCTGGGAGCTTGCAATAGGAAATGTCAGGGAGCGACAGTCCAAACTCCCCCCTCCGTGGAGCTATTTAGTGGGAGATGGGAAAACAGTAAGCCAACTTCATGAGTAAACGATGAGCATACAGAAGATGAGAAGTGCTGGGACATAAAGAAGCAGAGGGATGCAGCACTATTTACAATAGCCAGGACATGGAAGCAACCTAAATGTCCATCAACAGGTGAATGGATAAAGAAGATGTGATACTATATACAATGGAATACTACTCAGCCATAAAAGGGATGAAATTGTGCCATTTGCAGAGAAGTGGCTGGACCTAGAGACTGTCATACATAGTAAAGTAAGTCAGAAAGAGAAAAACAAATATTGTATAACATCGCTCATGTGTGGAATCTAGAAAAATGGTACAGGTGAACTTATTCGCAAAGCAGAAATAGAGACACAGATGTAGAGAACAAACTTATGGATACCAAGGGGGGAAGGGGGGATGGGATGAACTGGGAGATTGGGATTGACATCTATACACTACTATATATAAAATAGATAACTAATGAGAACCTACTGTATAGTACAGGGAACTCTGCTCTGTGGTGACCTAAATGGGAAGGAAATCCAAAAAAGAGGGGATATATGTATACATATAGCTGATTCACTTTGCTATACAGCAGAAATCAACACAATATTGTAAAGCAACTATACTCCAATAAAAAGTATAAAAAAATAAAAAAAAATTAAAATACTACAATTTAAAAATTAAAAAAAAAAAAAGCAGAGGGAGAGGGACCCAGAATGCCAGGGGATGGCCATCAGGTGGCCTTGCTGCCAGGTGATGGGGCACATTAGCAGTGCAGAGACCCCGAGATGTGGACAGCCCTGGGGACTGAGGACCAGCCAGAGCGCCCGTGGGCCTGGGTGAGGGCGTGAGGGGACATGGCAGGAGCCAAGGTCGCAGAGGATGACAGCAGGCCGCGCAGGGCCCCAGGGACCACAGGAAGGACTCAGCAATCATCCAGGCGAGGGAGTGTCTCGTCAGGGTTCCAGCAAAGTGACAGCCCCCAGCTCACCTCTGCCAGGCTCCCTCTGGCTGCTGATTGTAAAGACACAGGGGTGGGTGCTGAGGGCAGGGAGACCACTGCCCAGCTACTGGGGAGCAGCGTGGACGTGATGAGAGGGGGTCAGAGTCTGGGCTTAGTTGAGGGATGTGCCCACGGGATCCCCGGCCAGAGGGGTGTGGTGTGGGAGAGAGCCGAGGACGGTTCCCTGCTGGGGGCCTGGGCCACGGGAAGGACAGAGGGGCTGGCCCCTGAGGCAGGGAAGGTGGTAGGCTGGCAGGTTTTCGGAGTGGGTGATGGGGAAGGTCAGGCGGCTGAGGTGCCCACTGGACCCCTGCGGAGGAGAGAAGTCCGCGCCCCACCCGACACGTGGCCTGAAGGTTAAGTGTCAGCCCAGGCGGCGTCCACTCCTCTCCCTCCCCTCACCCTGAGCCTGGCCACCCACATGTCCTTTATCACTGCAAACGTCCAAGCTCACTTCCCGCCCTGGCCTCCCGTCCAGGCAGCCCCCCAGCCACCCCTGCTCTCCCGAGGCGCCCCGTCTCCCAGCTGCCGTAGCACCCGGTAGCCCTTGACATGACCTTGAATGCTTACACGGTGGTGCCCAGCACCCGCCCCCAGGACAGCATCGGCTCCCAGAAGACAGACACTGGTCTCGCTACGTCCCCGCCCCCCGTGGACACTCAGTGGCTGAACACAGCCCACCGCCCCCCCACAGGCCTCTCTTTGCCCTCCTCCCCTACAGCCACCTGCTGCTCGTCTGCCAGAGCATCCGGAGGTGACCTGGGCTCCCACGGTGAGGCCCAGGGACCCAGGTGGTCACCGCTGCTTTGGGGGATCCTAATGAAAAGGGGCCTCCTTCCCGCACGCTGCAGGACCCTGCCCGGGGGACTTGGGGTAGAAGACCTCGCCATACACACTCACACGCACATTCACACTCACACACACACACTCACAGGATTTAACTCTTTTTTCCTCCTCCCCCTCCCTTTCTCAGCCCTGGCCCGAGGGTTTGCTGGGGGGAAGGGACTGGAGAGGCCTAAAAACCCAGCTCTACCCGTGTGCATTTTTTAAACATAATGCAGTATGTTAAGTATCAATTATGAACTTGATGTGTGATGAGGAGTGACGCTGACACTACTTTAAACAGTGGAACCACTGAACAGGGACACAGCAGAGGATATAAGCTTGGCCTTTGGGAAGTGTGTCCTGTCCAGATCCCCGAGCCAATCCCACAAATCTCTCAAATTGTCAGGAAGACATTGAAAATGAAGACAAACACAATAGGAACAGTGCAAACGTATATAAATATATTTTGGGAGTGAGGGGTGGTAAGGATGTTCTGAATTTCAGCATCCCATTGTCACTGCAAACCCCTGACGAGGGAATACCACAGTGCTCAGGGCTCCGGGCTCAGGGCAGGAAGCTTGGCCGCCAGCTCGCTCCTCGCAGACCGCTTCCCAGGCCCCTGAGGTCTGTTCTCTGCGGAGAGGGGGCCAGCTCGGCGCACGGGGTGCTGCTTCATCTTTTCTCCTGGCAAGGACGGTCAAACTGTTTGGGTGCTATTTTAAAATATTTAAATAAATGTCCTCTAATTCCCAGCCTAGGAAGCAGGCTCGGGGCAGAAGGGGAGGGGGTCTTCTGTGCCACCGTCCCCCCAGGCCTCCCCGCCTTGCCTCACACTGGAGACACAGTGGTGAGGACAGGGGCCTGAAGATGCTGGGCACCAAGGGATGTGCATGTACCACCATCAGCTGCAACCAGGGAGGTGCCTGCCTTGTCTGAGAACCCCGCCCTTTGCCCTGCTGGTCTGTGTTTATGGAAAGCTTTCCATCAAGTCCTTGCCCCTCCGCATACACTCAGGCCACACAGATTTCCTTCCAGGTGTCGGACGGGAAGTGGCAGCAACGAGAAGAGGGACTCTCTCCCCGTGCTCTTCAGGGACGAGGCTTGTCCCCCAAACGCTGCAGGTGCCCCCAGCCATGGGGGCTGCTGGGAGGCCTTGCCCCTCGAGCCCCAGCCCACAGCCAGCCAGGTGAGCAGGACCCAGCAGAGGGACAGAACAGGAGTCCATGGCTCTCCACTGTCCTGCAATTCCAGCCACCAGGCCAACCGGGTGACCGGACCAAGCGGGTTTCCAGAATGCAGGACTTTCAGTGCTGAACTCAAGAAAGTCCTGGGAAACCGGGACACGTAGGTCACCCGAGGGCCGACCTAGCCTCCAGCCACCCCAAATGTAACTCTCCAGAGATTTTGTTTCTCTTGGTCTCTCTTTGTGCGACTCTTTCTGGATCCCGGCGAACTCTACTGGGGCAAGAATATGCTTTTGATGCTTATAAGCCCAGAGCCGCTTATAAATTCCTAATTTGGGGCCAGCGGTTGCTCCAATTTAGCTCCTGGCACCAGGCCCGTTCAGCTCCTTGAAGTTCAAGGTTACTGCAGACAGAAGGACGAAGGAGGCCCTGTGCCTTCTGCCTGGGTTTTTGGCAAGCTCTCAGCGCTTCTCCTGAGTGCACCAGGCCTGGTCATCTTCCACGAGGACGGTCGCTGCCTTTGTTTCCAGCCCCTTGCCTGATGCTCTCGGTGAAGTTGACATGCTCGGTTCAGGAGCACACGTTCCCCGTTCAAGTTCAAGTTCAAGTTCAGCTGTTGAACATCCCTCTCTCTGCTCCTCCTAGGAGGTCTGGAAGGGAGGTTCCTGTTGATGAAAGAACATGTTGTTGCGTAAATTTCTGAATTTTTTGTTTATTCCCAGCCAAAGGCTCTTGAAGTTAAAAGCCAGGATTTCGCCACCTGCACACTTTCCTTTGTGACCTGCCCCCGGGGCAATGTGGGCCTCCTGACCAGCAGCCCAGTTCAAGGGTTTGGGGGTTAGAAGGAGCCCATCTGTTCATGTATCACAGGTCATCCTGCTGGCATGACACAGGAGGGCTCTGATCTATCTGCCCCCCTGGCTAACTGAATGATTTCTGTGTCTTCTCCTCCCTGAAACAGATGAAATGCAGTGATGTACCCATTCCTCACCTTTCCTGTACCTGACCCTTTGCCATGACACTTTCAAGGCCCCCCACTGTGGGCCTGGCATCCTGCCCCAGAGATTTCAGTCTCTGCCCCGTGACTTGCTTTTACCAATGGGATTTTAGCAAACATGACAAAAGCAGAAGCTTGAAGAAACACTTGCATCTCTCCCTCACCCCCTTTTGCTTCTCAGCCTTTTCCACAAGAACATGCCCAGGACAGCCTGCCGGAGGGTGGGCCATGTGGGGTAAAGCCAAGGTCACCAGTTGTCCCAGCTGTGTCCACCCTGGGTCTACCAACCTGCAGCCAACTGGCAGACATGTGGGTGAGCCCAGCCACAACCAGAAGAACCGTCTGGCAGAGCCCAGCCTAAGTCACTGACCCCCAGACTCATAACCTGTTAAATCAATGCGAACAGTGTGACACTGAGGTTTGGTAAGGTTTTTGTTATGCAGCATCATCGTGGCAAGTGATGACAGATTCACTCCAACTCCAGCTGCCAGAGGAAGCTTTCAGTTTCTCTGAAGTCTCAGGACCCAGCATGGTGCCAGGTATGGTTTGAGGCTGAAGGTGGAGATGGAAAGAGCCTGGGGTCGGGCAGACCAGAGTGTGGACCTCAGGTATGACTGTAGCAAGTTAGTTAACCCCTCTCTAGACTGGGGGCACTACTGATACTACTGATCCTAAAATTCTAATAGCTACAATGTATTGTGCAGTTATGCCTCTGGAATAACGGTAAGAGATTTACCGTTGGATTTTCACCACAACCCTGTCCCCATATGTCTGTTTTTCAGAGGAAGAAACTGGGGCTCTGTGTGGTGAATTGGCTGGGCCAGGGGCACACAGCACATGCTATACTAAGTTTTGTTTTATGTATGTTTTGCTTTGAGCAACACATAGAATTGTCTATATAATACGACTCAACTAATCAAAAGTGTAGAAAAATAAGATTGGAAAAAAATATGACGATAGCAGTTGCCACAGAGTGCAAGGGCTTCTTTTAAAAATTTAGTTTATTCATTCATTTATTAAACAAATGTGGTTTTTTATTTTTTTTAATTAATTTATTTATTTATGGCTGTGTTGGGTCTTCGTTTCTGTGCGAGGGCTTTCTCTAGTTGTGGCAAGCGGGGTCCACTCTTCATCGCCGTGCGCGGGCCTCTCACTATCGCTGCCTCTCTTGTTCTCTGTGGAGCACAGGCTCCAGACGCGCAGGCTCAGTAATTGTGGCTCACGGGCCCAGTTGCTCCGCGGCATGCGGGATCTTCCCAGACCAGGGCTCGAACCCGTGTCCCCTGCATTCGCAGGCAGATTCTCAACCACTGCGCCACCAGGGAAGCCCAAACAAATGTTTTTTTAAACACCTGTTTCTTCTAGGCATTCTTTCAGGCATTGGGTATGTGGCAATGAACAAATATATATATATATATGTGTGTGTGTGTGTGTATGCATACATGTGTTTATAATATATGTATAGTGTTATATGTATAGTGCTGGGTGTAAATGCCCTCTAGAAACTCCCATGGGCCAATACTTACAGTGATTTGTTGGATAAATGGCATAACTCCCTGACTCGATGAATGCAAAACGCTGAGCTTTGTGTTCTACGCCAGGGTCCAGAGTTTCCAACGTGAGCAAGCTTCATTGGCTTAGTACAAGGTCTTGACATATTTTTCTTCATTTTTGTAGTAACTTACAATGTTTAATAAATGTGTATTATCTTTTTAAAAAGACATATCATTTTTAAACATTTCTCTTCACACGTACTTAACTGTGTATTCTATACCACATGGCCAATGACAGTACGTCCTTCATATTTTCTAATTGTAATCAGTATAAGGTCCTTTGGCTCAACCAACTGGAAGACTAGTTATTATGGATGACTTCCTCCTAAAAATATATAGACATGCTGGTAAAATATGTATCAGTTAGGATAGGAAAGGTTGGGGTAACATATAGACCCCAAAATATAAAATGGTTGAAACATAATACAAAGGGACTCCTGTTTCTTGGAGATCTTGCAGAGGACCAATACTGTGGACAACAAGAAGGCTGATGACACACCAAGAAACATGTGTTTGAAGGCATTGGAGAAGCATTGAAGCATTGAAGGCATTGGAGAAGGCACTGGAGAAGCAAGCAAGCCTAAAAGGCCAAGGTCCTGCACTGGCACCTTGAACAAGCTTCATTTGCGGAGTATTAGGTCTTGAAATTTTTTTCTTTATTTTTGTATTAAACTTAAAATTTTTAATAAATGTGTACTTTTCTACTCAGGGCACTTGGGAATCCTGGACAGAGCAAGAGGCAAGGGGTCCAGGTTAGAGCTACCAGGGGAATCAAGGAAACTAACAAAGACGCTGGTAGGCTTATGGACCTGGAAAGACAAAAATGAGATTCTTGGGGGTGGCAGTGGGGCAAAGAACTAAGCCCAGCTCTCAGTCAATTTCCCCCTCAAAATATCTGAAGATTTCTGAAGCTGAACAAGATGAAAACTAGAAAGGTAAACACAGAGCTTGAAAAGTAAGTGAAGTTTTTTGATTTTCTCACTGTGCTGAGGACACAAGGACTAGAGTTCAGGACCTATCATGGGGCAAGAGCCCTGATGAACACACCTTAAAACCATGCTGTAGGAGCAGACATGAGCAGAGGTGTTCCAATCCTGCCACCCAGCCCTGAGTAGCAGTACTTGAATAGCATCCACTCAGTTCCTGATTGGATTAAGATGACTAAGCCCCACCCCTACACACACAGTTTATCCACCCATCAGAGAAAAGGATGAATGATGCCCAGAATTCAATGAAAAATTACTAGGCATGCCAAGGAACAGGACCAAATGGCCAAATACCAGGGGGAAAGGGAAGGGGAGCAGACAACATAAAACAGGTACAACAAATAGAAAGCAAATAGTAAAAGTGTAGCTATAAATCCAAATATATTAATCATTACATTAAATGTAAATGGACTAAATACTCCAAATAAGACTAAAACTTCACATCAGATTTTTAAAACTTGTTTATATTTTGGTTACAAGAGATCTACCTCAAAAACAAGCCAAAAATGGTGAAAGCAAAGGTTGGGGAAAAAAACTATGCCAGATAAGCACTAAACCAAAAGGAGAAAGAGACAAATCTATAATAATGTTAGAAGACATTAGCACATGACTCTCAATAAAAATAGGAAAGCAATAAGGATATAAGTGTGAACAGCACAATTAGCTTGAACTATATTACATCCAACAATGACAGAATATGCACTCTTTAAATGCACAAATATTTAAGAAAATGAACCATATGCTGGGTCACAAAGCCAACCTCACAAATTTTAAAGGATTTACATCATTCAGAGATGTCTTCTGACCACTGCAAAATTAATCTAGGAATTAATAACAAAAGTTGACTAGAAAATTCCCATCTCTGCCCTGCTAGCCATCTCTGCACCCCCAAAACATGTCAATTTCTTTCTAATTCATAGACAAGTTTGAAAGAAGGAAAGAGGGCACTTCTTGAGCCAGAAATAAAGTAGGAACCACAAGCCAGAAGGATCATTCATGAGCCAACACCACAGAAGCCCAGGGAGGGGTCAAATATAAATATGTGTCCTAAGGGCTAGGGCCTGGGTTTTAACACTCAGGGAAGAGAGGAAATACATCCCTGACATAGAAGAGGCAGAGGTGAACTGGGTACTCTGAATAAAGTCAGGTCCCTGGAAGACTGGCCCTTCCTTATAAGAAAGACTCAGAAAATACAAGCGCAATCTCAGGAGCAAAGCTTGACTCTGCTCAGAAAAGATGAGGGTGCATAAAAGTTCCCATTAAAATTGGAAGCTCCAAAATATTGGCTCTCAACTGAAAGTAGATATGAGGACCAATGCTATTTTAGTTAATTAAATGTTAGACCACCACACTGTAGGAAACAAATAAGTATCAGATAATAACCATACTCTCACTGGGCTTTTCAGTGACTTTACACATTATGGACAAATGGAAAATGGGATAAATTGTGCCAGATTTTTTCCAGAATAAAACATTTTTTGGAGAATAAAACAAACAAAAACAAAACAAAATGGAAGCTCCAAACTCACCCCACCCAACCAGATGGACAGTTTTAACTTATACTTCCCATAAAGCAAGGACATCCCAAACCAAAAAGTTATTGCAAAATTTGTTTTTAGAGAAATGATCCCTTGGATCCAGACCAAAGCAAAGATAAAATCCTTTCCTGGAAATACCTCCCATCCCAGGGCATGTGGGCCTCCCCTAGAAAACAAATGGTAATACACCCCAAGAAAAACTCAAAATAATTTTTTAAAATCACAAAATACACAAGGAAACAATTCACAAGGGAAAGTCAGCAGATTAAAAAATAAACAGAATGATTAATCCCCCAAGCACTTATAATAACAGTTCAAATGAAATAATAAATCATGTTTAAAATGTTTAAAATGATTAAAGACATAAAGAAGGAATTAAAATCCATATTTAAGGGACTTCCCTGGTGGTCTAGTGGTTAAGACTTTGCCTTCCAATGCAGGGGGTGCGGGCTCGATCCCTGATTGGGGAGCTAAGATCCCACATGCCTCATGGCCAAAAAACCAAAAAAGCATAAAACAGAAGCAATATTGTAACAAATTCAATAAAGACTTTAAAAATGGTCCACATCAAAAAAAATCTTTAAAAAAAAT